ATACTAAACCGGATCTTCCGTACTAATATAGTATCGTCGCCTACCTAACCGACCTACCTATCGGCGTTCGTAGTATATCGGATCCTTATTCTATATATCTTCTAGGTGTATATAGTATTAATAGGCTACGGGCTACCTCTAAACGCGGTTATCGTTATAAATRCTTCTATATCTCTCTAAACYAACTCGTRGATAATARGTRCCCTCTACCGTACGRCGGCTATATTAACGCCGGCCTATACCTATATAGTAACGTAATCTTCGCGTAAACGCTACGTACGGCGGACGACTATAGCTCGCGCGGTAGTAATTACGGCTACTAATGTAGGTGTGTAATTAATAGCTAGCACCTATCCGTTCTTCTCCCTATATACCCCTAACACGGCTAACCCGCTTAATAACCTACTCTCGTATTCGTTGTCTCCTAACGGGTACTAGAATATAGCGATCTAAAATGCTAAACTCGTATTAATAATGTCCTCTCTAGCATCGGTAACGTTCCCTCTCCCTATACTAGGACTAGTTCTAGATAGCGGGCTCGACGGATAATCCTCTTCTCTACGGGCGGTATATCGTAACTTCTTTAACGCCTACGTTTACTAGGGTGTTAATCGATATACTAGCCGGACGGTCTTARGTTCGGTRCGCTAAATATACCGTAAAATCTTTACGAATACGGCGGTATACTTCCGAATCGTCTATACCTTCTACTTTCCGTAAAACGGCCGGTTACTATCTAGTAYACTATTCTCCCGCYRATAGACGTATTATAACGTATACCGGCCTACGATCTYGGCGCGGCTAGYATTAAACGATCGCCGAATTAATAATRCGGTACTAGTATATRCTCTTCTTAAACSTTCCTCGCTATCCTCTCCTTCCTTCCCTAAACTAGTCTYCTCGGCGTCGTTTAGGTCTAAATCTAACCTATCGCCGCTTAGGTCTAAATCTAACCTAATATCTTCCTATACCTACTTTACTACCTATGCCTTAAACTAGCTAATATGCTTCTCCTATCCGGTAT